ATAATGTCTTGTCCAGTCTTTATACCAGGCAATTTCTTTGTTTTGAAGATTCCCTTAATGCTTTTCATTTTATTCCAGAGCTCCTTCATTGAAATGCTTTGATTTAATGAGGATACGAAGTCTTCCCATGACGATCTTTTGCTTTTCGGTATATATCGTAATCTTTGTATCTTACTGTTTGAGTTTCTTGTGTGTTTCTTGGAGATAAACTAGTATAGGGTTCTCATCGCTTATTGTCATTTTTAGGTGCTCTAAATGTCGGAAAAATCTGTTACAATTCCATTGAATGATTGTTTTCATTTTGATTGGCAAAGTGTTTCTTATTTTCCAGATTATTATTATCACCATGACTTTCCTTAAATAGTATAGGTATTAAAGTAATAAATTAAAACTTGTCTAGAAAATATAATACGCTGTATCATTCCTAATACCGATGACTTTTTTTTGTTTTTTTGTCAATTTAATTATCTTTCAAAAGTTTCTATATAAATTTGACCATAGAATATATACTTTGCGAGTTAGGCCCCGCCACAAAACAATTTTCTTTTCTTAACAACTTTTTTTCCGGAATATTTTTCGGAATTCTTGCGAATTCGATACATAGACAAAAATTGTAAGGGCATTAATTAGAAAATTATAGAAAACTTTCGCCAAAATCATTAGAGCCGTTTTTGCGCTACACTAAATAGAAAAATACGGTTTTCACTTATTGCGCAGCTGCTATTGCTTCCTCTCATGAAAAACGATTTTTTCAAGAAGCCTAATAAATAAAGAGGTGGAAAATTTACTCTTGTAGTTGATCTATAATTCCTCTAATAAAATTAAAAAGACATTTTTTTTAAATTTCAACTTTTCGATATTTGTGAAATCATTATTATTTTACAGTAATTTATTATTTGTTATTTATTACTCATCAATTTCCTACCCCAATTTATTTTATAAATATCGCAATGTATTTACTATGTATTTAGATTGATACATATATAGAGCGTGTACAAATTAACAAATACACAACACACACAAACACACACACACACACACACACATATATATATATATATATATATATATATATATATGTTTATATATAAATTATAGACCGAAATAATGTTTAAGACATGTAAAGGAAAATCTTTGGATTTTTTGCGGTTTGCCACAGCAATTAAAAGAAGGTGCAAGGGTTTAAATGTAGTTTTTTTTTTTTTCTTCTTCAAGATATTCATTAGACTGTATATTTTGAAAATTGGAGCGATTTTTTCTAGTCTTTGTTGAAACGAATGTGCCATTAAGTCGCTGAAACGTCCTCCTATATCAGACAGCCTTCATTAAGTGGACCTCCATTGTGATCCTGTCGTCTGTGTTAGAGTCGATTAGGACTTAAAGGAATGTTTGTCTGTCAAAGTCACAAGAGCCTTTATATCTAACGTGTAAACGTTTCAAAAGGTGTTTATTTTGTCCATGTTCCGACAGTAATCGTGTTAGAGAGGTCGTGACAGCCGAGCGTTGTGAGACATTATCCGCTTTGACATTCTAAAGTCTCGCTGCACCGGTTCGAATCCGGTAAAGACAGATAAGAGTGGATAAAAATAATAGTGTCCCTTTAGAATAATACAGAAAGACATAAATATGGGCTATAGAGCTTCAGAGATACATAAATAAAAATACAGAGTAATTAAACAGTCATAATAAAAAAATGAAAAATTATAAGTTACTTTCTAATTTTAATAGTTAATAATAAAAATTAAAAAAAAAGGATGAAGTAAAAATAATGAAGAACGAGCTAATAATTTATATACATATTTACAATTTGATGGGGACTGGATGGATAAGAAACGATTGAACAGGCGGGATTTAAAGGCAGGAATGGCATTGGATTGACGAATGTGAGAGGGGATGGAGTTCCAAAGGGATGAGGATCGGATAATGAAAGATCTGTCGAAAGCAGCGGTTCGGTGGGCCCTTGTGTATAAATCAGAAGACCTGAAACGGGTATTACAAGAGTGAACAGAGGATTTGAATTGAAGGAGCTCAGAGATGTATGAAGGACGGTGGGATTGGATGACTTGAAAGAGGAAGGATGCCAGGAAATACTTACGACGGTAGGAAGGATAAAGCCACTTCAACTCTGCATAAAAATGGGAAACAGAGGCGTCCCTTGGTATCCCGAAGATGAATCGGACAAAGCAATTTATCAAACGTAATAGTGGACCCTTATATCGAAAAAATCCGACAAGTGTCAAAAATTTGATAAGCAAAAAATTCTTAAAAAGGCTTGTTAAAATAAATCTTGAATTGAATTATTCGAACTTTGAAAAATTATAATAACTTTTATTAATTTTTTTATTTAGCAGGGCTCGGAAGTGTCTTCAGTCCGTCCAATCTTGGCCGGAGTTCCCCAAGGTTCAATACTAGCCCCTCTACTTTACGTTATATACACTTACGATATACCTATTGACGATGAGATCTTGACAGCTACATATGCAGACGATACAACAATCCTCACAAAACATCAAGACCCTACACAGGCCTCACTAACTCTACAACATCATTTGCTTAAACTACAAGATTGGTTTGCACAATGGAAATTTCGACTTAATCATGACGTATTCAAACATATAACATTTACTCTTCGAAAAAACACCTGTCCTCCAGTTTATATTGACAACAATCAAATTCCTCAAACGGACACGGTACTTTATCTTGGACTCACCTTCGACAGAAGGATGACATGGGGCCCACATGTTAAAATGAAGCGTATGACACTTAACAAACGACTCAAACTACTTTACTCTCTTTTTGCCAAATCTTCAAAACTAAAACTAAAACAGAAACTGAATACATATACATACTTACTTAAGCCCATATGGACATACTCATCACAAATATACGGCATCGCTAAAAAGACCCACCTACAAAAACTTCAAACGTTCCAATCAAAATTATTGCGACTCATAACAAAAGCACCTTGGTACGTGACTAACAAAACTCTACATACTGACCTCCACTTTCCAACAGTTGACCAACATATAACGACCCTATATCAACGATTTTACACAAATTTAAACGGACATAATAACAGACTTATAAGAGACATGGCCACAGCTGACATACCCCAGAACATGAGGAGGAGACTAAAAAGGCGTTGGATGAGGGATCTTCTTCCTTAGACAACCTAAGTAATTGGAACAAGTTAGGGAAGAGGTACTGCTGAGTACTTTCCTTCCCCATTCCTGTCATGTCATTATATCATTATCGCCATCACATTGGCTGATTGTCAACTTATTGTTGACAGGCGCAAATACATATTTTATAGACAAAAAAAAAAAAAAATGTTTTTATTTAATACCAATGCCGTTAGCTATCAGGTCATTCGGCTCCTGGCAGCCCAATACAATTCTGTGATGATTCCATTGTTTGTTTTTTTGTCCGTCGCATCAGAAACATTACTGCGGGCATCTGACTGAGCGAGGCGTATCCTTATGAGCTCATTAATATAATTATAATAACTAATAGAAAGATAATATGATACTCAGATTATTTGTTATCTAAGATAAAAAATAAAATAAATTATTGGTTATTCCAACGGTCGAACTAAACTGAACAGTCGAAAAAAACTAGTAAATCTAGTCAGGATGTGCTTGACGGAGACACTCAATAAAGTTAGAATCGGTAATAATTTGTCCGAAAAATTTGAGGTTCGTTCGGGCTTAAAACAGGGGGATTCTCTTTCGCCTGTCCTGTTCAATTTGGCATTAGAACATGCCATTAGGGAGGTAATGCGAACCGAGAAAGGGTTGGATCTGGGCGGGACAACATCCGTGCTGGGCTATGCTGATGATCTGGTACTGTTAAGCGAAGACGTTGAAACTATAAAACTAAATACGACAACGTTAATGAAAGCCGGTAAAGAACTAGGACTCGAAATAAACGTGGATAAAACAAAATATATGGTTAGCTGCAAAAATGGCGATACTACTGGTGATATCGATATAGATGGTAATGTGTTTGAACAGGTAGATAAATTTAGGTATCTAGGTTCTACGATAACTAGAAAAAACGAAATTGAAGAAGAAATTAAGGTTAGACTGAAGGCGGGAAATGCTTGTTATTTTTCTGTGACAAAACTACTTAGTCCGCGCCTTTTGTCCCGAAACTTAAAAATTAGAATCTATAAAACAATTATCTTGCCTACAGTTCTTTATGGGTGCGAAACTTGGCCGCTTACATTAAGGGATGAGTAGCGTCTTAAGGTTTTTGAAAATAAAGTATTGCGTAGAATATTCGGACCGAAGAAGGATGTGTTAACCGGAGAGTTCAGACGGTTACACAACGCCAAATTGCGTGAGCTGTATCCGAGTAATATAATTGAGATAATTTCATCGCGGCGAATCAAATGGGATTGTAATGTTGTTGGACTTAGTAAGGAGAGAATTCCTAAAAGGTTAATATTTGCTGTGCCGAATGGTAAGCGTCTGAGGGGTAGACCGAAGCGAAGGTGGGAAGATTGCATTAAAGCTGATCTGAAGGGACTGGGTTTGGACGGCGAACGGTGGAGGAAGGTGTGTAATAAGCGATTGGTGATGTCGGCATCGAACCTTCGGGTTCGCTAAGAATTTTATTATTATTATTATTATTTATTTAATACCACTGCCGTTAGCTATTAGACCATTCGGCTCCTGGCAGCCCAATACAATTCTGTGATGATTCCATTGTTTGTTTTTTTGTCCGTCGCATCAGAAACATTACTGCGGACATCTGACTGAGAGAGGCGTATCCGTGTGAGCTCATTAATATAATTATAACTAATAACTAATAGAAAATAACATGAAACTCAGATTATTTGTTATTTAAGATAAAAAATAAAATAAATTATTGGTTATTCCAACGGTCGAATAAAATACCCTATTATACTATGACGCCGATTCGATTGTACGCATCTTTCTGGAAATTTTAAAATATTTTTCAGGAATATAAAATTAAATAAAAATTTGAAATGTTACCTCTGATTATATGTTCGGTCGTTCGTTTGGTTCGAGATCCGGCTCCCAGCCTTGTCCTCTGAAAAATAAAATAAACAATAATAAATAATAAAGTTATTATCTACAACTAATAATAAAATATACTACAACTGATAAGTTTAAATACACTGAATTTTACAATATTCGACTTAGCAATATCTCAACGCCTAGAAACTTCAAAAATTAAATATTATTTAATAGGAAAATACTGTTGTTATTTTTTTGTGGCTCTAGTGCCCTTTTTTCAGTCTCTATTGGCTTAAAAAATCAGTGATACTTCAGGAAGAGAAAGGTGAGGATAAGATTATCATTTATTTACCTTCAATTTATTTAGCATTGTGTATTCCTACGCACGATGGACGGATCGATCTGGGATCAGTGTACTAACTCTTAAAGAAGAAAGACCAATAAATGGCTGCTTATAGAAACTTTTTTTTACAGAAACTTCAATCGATGTCTCATCATATGAAGGCAAGGAGGTTTAGAAGAACGGGGCATGTAGCTTGGAACAATCAGTCACTTTAAAAACCACAAACCAGAAATAGCCCAAGATAGGCAGAGATGGGGAAGACTAATTAAGGCAGCAAAAAATCTACAGCCAACAAAAAAAAAAGCCAACAGGAAAAATAAATAGATAAATAATATGAGATGGAGATATAGTTTACTGTTGGAATTATAAGGATGCAAAATAATCAGGATGCAGTAAAAAAATTATGTTAATTGAGTTTATGGTTTTTATGGTTACTGTTCTAAAAATCTATAACTTTTATTATTGCCAAATTGACTATACATTGCTTCAGATATTAATAGTTATACATTTATCTTCTATTAATTTTTTTTTGTATTTTTAATGACAGCAATTCCCAGCCAATTTATCTTTTAAGAATCTAATGTCAACTATTTCTGAACAATTTATTAATTAGAAAAACTTTAAATATGTTTTTGGTCTATTTTTAAAATGTTTTCATCATTATTAAAGTTACGGGATTATTATGAATTCTCGATTGGAGAAACCTACAAGTAAAGGAACTTGTAATGCGATATTTCTCTAACTTGGCATGCACCAGATAGATGTAAATAATGTATGTACAAGTGGATTAGAGTGGTTCCGATTTTTAGAAAACCACTATTGAAAAATACTTTTTGTATCATCAAATAAACCGACGTTTTGGCCATCCTCAGAGAGTATGTGGTTTGATGCTTATCGGAAGATGATTTTTATATTTGAATCTCTTATAAAAATTGGCTATCAATTAAAAAAAATTGATCGCTAGTAAACAATAACATTTTAATTAATTTTTCAATTAAAAAATAAACTGATTTGTGTCCTTTAAACCACATCATATAAGTAATTACATTACCAAGGCGAGATCAAAAATATGAAATATAAATTATAAATAATAGCTCGTTATAAAGAGAATGAAATGCTCAACACTTCTCTCGCTTACAGTATGCTGGTCCGATTTTTAGTTTCAGTGATATTTTAGTCCATATCTCCAATAAAATTCGATTTCATTTCATTTCCGATACTATATTTCCTTTTTCGCCTCTAACACGGGGTCGTATTAAGATACAGTTTTGAATATTAGCTCATAATAAAGAGGATGAAATGATGTACTTTTCTCTCGCTAACAATATGCAGGTATGATTTTTGTTTTTGAGATATTTTAATTCATATGGAAAAAAACTAAAATCAGTCGACTCCAACAGACTTTACCGTAGCGTCAAACTTCGGAGATCTGTAATCTAATTCACTCTTAACAAAAAAAGTGCAAAACGATCCTAAAGAAGTTTTCATTTCAAAAATAGAAAATTATAACGAAAAATGATGAATATATATCATGATTACAATTTTTCATTTCTCGGATGTAATTATGTATTTTTTATTTTAGAACTTTTTATAAATCAAAATTAGAGAAAAAACTAAATACATACACTTACCTGCTCATACCAATTTGGTCATAAGCCTCACAGATTTACGGTTCAGCAGAAAAGACTCACTAACAAAAACTACAATCTTTTCAATCTAAACTTTTAAAACTAATAACTGCAGCTCCCTGGTACGTCAACAACAAGACTTTACATACCGACCTAAGACAACCAACCATTGACCAGCACATACGTACTCTCTACTCCCGATTTCATTTTAAACTACACGGACATCACAATGGACTTATCAACGACATGGCCACGGCTGAAATGCTCATCAGGAGGCGACTGAAAAGAAGCTGGATGAGAGATCTCCTTTCCAGATTTTAGGATGTAAACAGACCAGGGAAGAGGTGCCGCTGGGCTCCATTTTTCGTCATGCTTACCATGCCATTTTATACCTAACAAAAAAATCTACTAATTGTCACTACCATGACAGGTACGGATGAAGAATTAAAGACAAAAAAAAAAGAAGCTCGTTACAAAGAGGATGAAATGATGAAAATTTCCCTTTTTAACAATTTCCAAGTCCGCTTTTTAGTTTTTGAGATCTGTTAATCCATATACAAAAATACTTCAATCAGTTGACTCCAACCGACGTTACTATAGCGTCATACATCGGAGATCTGTAATCTAATTAACTCTTAACAAAAAAAAGACAAAACGCGCCAAAGGAATATTTCATTTCAAAAATAGAAAATTACAAAGAAAAATTATAAATATATATCATGATATTTTTCTTTTTTTTTTAATGTAATTTTGTATTTTTTTAATTTTAGCACTGCTGAATCGTTAACGAACTCAATATGATTTTCATTAAGGCACATACTGACCATTTTTCATCTTCTAAAATAAGTAAAAAATATTAATTAAATTAAGGAAAGTATCGAAAGGATAAATGGATAGACTAAAGCCCGCACTTACTAATGTATCGATTCGAACGGAAACGTAAGAAGAAACTGTCGGCGACATTTTGTTTCCTCACAAAGTTACAAAGAGGTTTGGAGCCACCTGCCAATCCCACTCTTCGAAGGAATAACTCACCTTTTATGTAACTTTTCCAGCTTCCTAAGTCTGGATCAGCGATTCTCCAGCTATGGCGGAGTGTATGCCATGTTAAAACGCAAGAACCTTTCAGATGGTAATTGAAAAAGGAAGAAAAAGTCATGGATAATAAAATAATGGTGATTTTTTATTTCTTATTGCATAGACAAGGATTACTGTGGGATTGAAGGATTTGATATCAGAGACACTATACTACTATTTTGCAAGACATTGAAGCGAAGCAAAATAGTATCGTAACGCCTTAATCACTCATTTGATTTTTTAAATTTCATATATATATATATATATATATATATATATATATATATATATATATATATATATATATATATATATATATATATATATATATATATATAACTAGAATCTACTTTTGTATAACAAATATTATTACTCTTATGCCATCATAAATGTTTTTTTATTTTTTTCATTTATGTACTACATTACAAATATAACTACAAGAATGCCTCAAAAAGCATATTTGGTAAAATCAGAAAGTTAAAATAATGCCAATTATTAACAATTATATAAAATCTAATATTTCGTCAAAATACGTACAAAATATAAATAAAAACAATAAATACATTTTATTTTTTAATATAAATAACCTCACAGATTTACGGTTCGACAAAAAAGACGCACTTACAAAAACTCCAGTTATTTCAATCCAAACATTTACAACTTATAACAGGAGCTCCCTGGTACGTCAACAACAAAACTTTACATACCGACTTACGACAACCAACTATTGACTAACACATACGACTCTACTCTCGTTTTCATCTCAAATTACACGGACAGACAAACAGACTTTTTAACGGCATGGCCCATCAGGAGGAGACTAAAAAGGAGCTGGATGAGAGATCTCCTCATGAAATCAAAGTAATGACCAGGAAGAGGTGCTGCTGGGTACTATCCTTCCTCATGCCTATAATGCCTATCCTCATCATCACAACAGATCTGCTTATTGTCAATATATATATATAAATATATATATATATATAATATATATAATATATATAATATATATAATTATCTTTAACTATGTTGCAAAATTCAATTAAAAAACTACTCGCATGAACAAAGAAACAAATAATATTCAAAGGACAACAGTCCAGATTACTCCACTAATTCTCTATAATTTGATAAATTATATATGAAAAAATATAATCTTCTCATATCTTCTATAGTAATATTACCATTCCATTAAGATTATCCATACCCCGATAATAGTTCTTGGTACAGACCCCTTTTTTTATCGAATTATCAACATAAAACCTCGTAAATAGTTTCATCTCATCGTAACTTACAACTATTTTATTTACGAAAACTCTTCTTTTCAACCTGGAGGGAGACAATCTTTGTCTATTGAATTACGTACTAAAAACTCGTAAATACCATTTGCTTTCTACTAGGATAATAAGATAATTAGATTTTGAAATCGATAAAAAAGGTAGCATACAAAAATATTGTGCCGTTTTTCCTATATGAGCTCGTTATTTTGAAAATTTGGGGATGTGGGTCGCGCCAAACGGCTCAATAATTCTGAAAGCCACCTTTTTTTCTCGATTTTGTGATCAAATTATGTGTCGATCCAAGTAGAAAGCAAATGGGTATTTATGAGTTGTTAGTAAGCATCATCACAATAGAAAAAATGCAGAAAGAAAAAACAAAAATAGACCAAAAAAAAAAATTTGTCGACATCTCACGTAAACATCCAAATACATACTGAAGGAAAGAGAAGGTTCTATTGACACAGCTTAGGAACGTTATGTTGAACAGCTGATTAAAAAAAAAAATACTTATAATTAAAATAAAATTATATTAAACATGTTTAATTAAACAAAAAATTAAGAAAATTAAAAGAAAAAGCTCGAATATGTATATAACATCCATTATGGACAAAATTCAGTGAATACACGGCACATATATTTCATAAATAATATTACTAAAATAAGCAAGAACAGAGATATAAACTTATGTTATAAATCCACTGGCTTTAGCACCAGTGAAGCGGTTGAGAGAGTAGCGCAGGGATCTCTTGGA